GTAATTAAATTAAGCGATAGTCATGTAGTTCATGGTTTAAAGATTAATACTTCTACTGTACATCCGGTAGTTTTAGCAGGATCATTGGATTCAGATGGAGATTGTGACGGTGCTGGTTACTCTGATCCGTTTGGATCTTGGGAAAATGTAGTGGTACAAGCTACAGTTAGAATTACAATTTCTGAACATTTGGCAAGAGTAAAGTTAAGTACAAATACTATCAATTTGAAATCTAGTACCGTCTGCTCTCTATCTGGAGGACATTGTATAGATCAGGAAGGAGGTTACACTTATTGGAACTCCCTTCCTATTGATAATTGTAAATTCGATAGATTTAGTGTCTTATATGAAGGTTTAGCCACAAAAATGATTGATGAAGATCCTCTAAATTCACAAACTGTATACACTGTCTCGGAAAGAGATATAACTTTTGCTTTAGCAATAAAGGGCGACGATTATGTTTGTGGTTACACTTTATTTAAAACTGAACATCCTAAACTTGTTATTTTTGAAACATCACGACACAATATTGCTGTAAGTAAGAAAATTTCAATCTCTAATCTTGACATATTTGCCTATGTAAACTCCAAATTCGTATATGTTGAAAAACACATACGTAGTCAGTTAAAATCACTCTACAGAAATGTAATGACTCAGAAATGTACACTCGAAAGACAAACTTTGAAAAATTCTTTATCAATAGCGACACAGGCACCAGATCAATTCGCGTACGATGTAATGAAGGGTCCCGGTTACATGGCGGTAGTTGCGGGAGAGGTGACACACATCGTCAAGTGCGTGCCTGTAGAAGTAAAGGTACTTCATGGAAAAACGTGCTACCAAGAACTTCAAGTCACCAGAAACAATAAAACTTACTATTTAACACCAAGAACACACGTATTAAAAACCAAAGGAACCGAGATTGTATGCAACAGATTATTACCAGCTTACTATCAGGTCAACGATTTGTGGTACAAAATTTTGCCATTACCAACGGAAGCAAGAAAACCAACTGTCCTTAAACCAATGACATCTAGTTATTGGGAATACACCAGTACACATCAACTTGCTACAAGTGGGATCTACTCCGAAAGCGAAGTTGAACAACTAAGGGAACGCATAATGTTTCCTGTTGAGAAACCATCCATGCTCAACGATCTTGCCAGAGAGATGGGAGATCAACCTGTTCTGAATTCTGATAATGGAATTATGAATTTATTCAACGAGGATGTGATGGAAAAATTCGTCGATAATTCATGGGATAAGTTATGGTCCAAATTTCTCACTTTTGGAACATTTAGTGCAGGAATTATAGCAGTTATAACTATAATTCAATTAATTAAGTCAGTAGTGGGTTTTATCATCCATGGTTATAAACTTCACTCTATTTATGGCTGGTCAGTGCATCTTCTGGGAGCCATCTGCAGTTGTGTTACTCATTTATTGGTCCATTTAGGATCAAAACCTCAAGAAGAAGATAATAAACCAAATGAAGTCGTTATCCAGGAAAATTCCGCACAACAAAGCAATAATCAAACACCTTTGTACCCAAACGTTCCAACAGTCTAAACATTACAAACATCAGGAGGTTCGCAGCAGCAAAAAGAATTTTTCCATATATCTTAATCGGTCTCTAAAAATTTTCAAATTCAAACGCCCACGAAAATTTTGGCAACTTTCTAAGGGACGAAACTAAGGTTCCCAATCGTAGGACCCACACTAATGAGTTTTTACGCCTTCTTCTTTTCTATTTGACGAAACAGAATTTTGCCATGCCCATACTCTTCCACTAGAAAATTTAACCCCCAATTTGAAAAACTTCAGAGGGAATAAGACTATAAAAATTTGAACTCTAAAAAAAAAGACACACTCTCTCTCAATTTTGCATCTTTACCTTTAACATTCTCTTAAAGTTCTACAAGTTTTCACAAAAGAAAGTTTTTGAACAGTTTTTAAAGTTTAACAAGTATTTGACAAGTTCTTATCAAATTACAAAGTTTAACAAGTGTTTCAATAATTAAAAATAAATTTCACAAAGACTAAAACTTTTAAACAAGTTTTAAAAATTAAACTAGTAAAAAAAAACTATTTCCTGATCTCCACCAACAAATTTTGGAAGAAATTATCAAGGAATCGACGAGGAAAATTCTTTGCTGCCTGTTTTGTTTACTGAGATAAAAACTACAATAAATAAAAGTAAGTTTAATAAATCAATGTAAATGTAATTAATTTACTTGTTTACATCCATTTTCTTACAAATTCTACTCTCTTCTACTCTTTACATTTTTTCGTCAGAAATAGAAACTTGTAAACTCGAGTTTCATGATGACATTCGAATTTTTGAATAGGAAAAACTCGCGGTTTTGATAATGTATAGTTGTATAGTTGTTTTACACTAATTTTAAGACAATTTAATCTATCAAAATAAGATCAAAAGATTCCCGAACTATTAGACTTTATTGTCTAGGTTCAAACAATATGTTAATATTTTATTATTAACAACTTTTAAATTATGTTATATCTTCGGACGTAACACTTTCAAACATTGTTTCATAAGCCCTAATTTAATGTGAAGTTGAGGCAGAAATATTTTTGTCCAATTTATCAAACATTCATTAATGATGTTTTTTGAAACAGGATCTAAATTCTTTCTTGGTTTCCAATTTTCATGCGTCTCCTTTAAATGTACAGAATGAGCAATAGGCACTAAAGCAACTTTGTTTACATTACATAGCAGAACTGCTTTTAACCTACGCTTTGACAAGTTGATAAAAAAGCGAATCTTATCCGCATTATAATCTTCAATCCCCATTGTTTTCATTAACTTATTTAGAAATATAAAGCCCTACAACTACAAACAAAAGTGATTTGGATCATTACAACTGGCAAAACTTCGAGGCATAATTCATAATAAGAAGCAAGCAAAATTAAAAGTTATGTATTTTAGTAAAATCTATATTAAATAAAAAAATAAACGACGCAGACGAAAGAAGAAACAGTTTATCTGCATTATTTTAAATGACTATCGAAATGAATGTTGTAGAAAAACAAAAAACGATCTAGCAGAAACTAACAATTAACTAACTTACACAACCCAAATCACGAAAATGCAAAATGTTCAAAGAATTCACAATTTGTTATTTAAAGTTTTTAAAATGTTTCTAAAATCTTTTTCTCCTTCTCCCATTCTATTTTCTTTTTGAACATTCTTCTTTTTTCATTTTTTCCATTCCTTTTTCTCTTTTCAGATATTTAGCTTTCTTCTTTTCATGATTGTTAAAAAATTTATTTTTTATATCCTATTTTTATTGCATAGAGTAGTACCGACAGAAGTCGTATCATATATATATATATATATTTATGTCACGTTATTTGTAACATTTAGAATTATTTTTCTGCTATTTCGTAGTAGAAAAAATTGACTATTAAACAAAAATTTGAAAAAATTGGACTTTTTATAAAAAACATTAATAACTTTTTTGTTTATAAATTTTTGATTTTGTTTACAACGTCATTCGATAGAGCGCGTATGAAAACATAAGAAATGATAATTGATGAATTTTTCTATTCATTTTCCCTTTGAAGGGCGGTGGGACGTATACGTCCCACTTTTAAAAACCTCAATATCTTTGACGAAAATTAATATTTTTGAGTCAAATTTAGTGCGTTTTCTTCAGGAAGAATAGGGCTTTAAAAATATGTAACCTAGATCATGTTAAAAAAATTCCTATAGTTTAAAAAAATTCATAAATTATTGTTAAAAATCACGAATTTTTTAAACATTTTAAAATCGACTAAAAATTGTTACTCGGGGGTTTTTGGGGTCGCTGATTACGAATATGACATCAGTTTTTAAAAATTCAAAATGGCTGATCCAATATTATATGTCAGATGACAAATGTAAAAATTTATTAGATTGTCACGAAACTTGTTATTCGAAGGTTGTTGTAGTCCCTGTTTACCAATGTTTAGTTTATTTTTAAATTTAGATTGTGGGTTAATAATTAGCGGAGAAATTTTTAAGTCAGTGACTTCGAAAATTCCCAAATAACAATTTTTAAGTAAATCCAATTAATTTAAAACAAAATTGACCGCTATGTTAGATTCGCTATTTTGAATTTTTAAAAAATAACATCAGATTCGTAATCAGCGACCCCAAAAGACCCCGAGTAAACATTTTCTAATGAATCCGATTAATTAAAAAAAAATTGTCCGCCATATTGGATCCGACATTTTGAATTTTTTAAAACAAATATCAGATTTGTAATCAGCGACCCCAAAAACCCCCCGGTAAACATTTTTAATCAAATACGATTAATTAAAAAAAATTGTCCGCCATATTGGATCTGCCATTTTGAATTTTTAAAAACTAACATCAGATTTGTAATCATCGACCCCAAAAACCCCCGAGTAAACATTTTCAAGCGAATACGATTAATTAAAAAACATTTCCGCCATATTGGATCCGCCATTTTGAATTTTTAAAAACTAACATCAGATTCGTAATCAGCGACCCCAAAAACCCCCGAGTAAACATTTTCAAGCAAATCCGATTAATTAAAAAGAGTGTCCGCCATATTGGATCCGCCATTTTGAATTTTTAAAAACTAACTTCAAATTCGTAATCAGCGACCCCAAAAATATTAAGACATGAGTTGTAAAGAAAATCCGTCTATATGAATAATGTGCCCCTCAAAGGGTTAAGTACCGAAATAAGTCCTCAAACTTCATGCCAAAATTTTGTACATTTGGGCGTTAAAAGGTTAATACAGAAAAGAAAAAAAAATATTTGGAAGATTTTAATAGATCAACTTAAATTTAACGTAGAATTGCCGAGTAGATATTTTATTTAGTTTCAATAAGATTTAATTTTTCCGGAAAACTTTAATAGAATTTATAATGATAAATAGAAAGAAAATATTAAAAGTTAATGTATGTATGTTTGTATGTAAAAAAGGAGTAAGTGTCACTGTGTGTAAGTATGATAAAGAAAAAAGATATAAAATTAGTGTGTATGTGTGTGTGCAAATAATAATTTAGAGTATCAGTTTGTCTATGTTTGTGTGTTTGTAATAAAAGAAAAGAGTTTCTGTGTGTGTATAAAAAGAAGAGTGTAAGGGTATGTATGTGTTAGAGAGATAAAAGATTGAAAGAAAACAATTATTGATTATTTTATCGATTCGTGGAAGAAAGTGTAGATGCTTAAAGGTGAAAACAAAGTCATTCGTTGCGTTGTGTACCTGCGCATCAGGAGGATAATCTCATAGATAAGGGATTCTGTATGAAAACATTAATAGTTCTGCTTTCAAGAATCTTGCATCAAATTTTCTTGTTTTTTCAAAAAGAAATTTTTATTTTTTTTGTAAAATATTTATTACAAAGTTTTAAGGTAAGAGTCATTTAATTTTTATTTACTTATAAATATACGCATTTCTAAACAATAATTAATTCCACTCAAATTTATTTGCAACAAATAAAAACTTTATTTATGCTTACAAAATTTTAATTTCAAACTAATCACAATTTATTCAATAAACTCTGTGATTTTTTTTATTTGCAAAATTATCAAACCCACGGTTAGAAAACCATTAAACCATTAATTTTATTACATTGTAGTATATAAAGGGAATCGTAGAATATAATTTATAAAATTGATAAACAAAAAAGTAAGGAGAAAGAGCGATCTTTTATATAGTATATAACTTTGGGCAAAAGATAGCGAAAGACGTCAAAACTTGGGCACAGATTTCGACCAAAGTTTATAAGCTTTCATCCATACTTGAAGTATGGGAAAAATCTAGCGAACCATTGCTAATAAGCGTTTTTCATACTTCTAAACTTTGGAAAAAAATATGTGCAAAGTATGGGAGAAAAAAATCGATTTTTTCCTATTTTTGGTAATGAAAAAATTAGTAATCTGAACTTTGTCAAAAACATGGGCAAAGTATAGGAGAAAAAAAATCGATTTTCTCTTACTTTTGACAATGAAAAAATTAGCAATCTGAATTTTTGCAAAAATATGGACTAAGTATAGGTGGAAAAAAATCGTTTTTGTTTATTTTCCGTAATAAAAAATTAGCAATTTGAACATTGGCAAAAATATGGGCAAAGTATGGGTGAAAAAAATCGATTTTGTCTTATTTTTGGTAATAAAAAAATTAGCAATCCGAACTTTGGCAAAAACATGGGCAAAGTATGGGAGGAAATAAATCGATTTTTAACTATTTTTGGTAATAAAAAAATTAGTAATCTGAACTTTGTCAAAAATATTGGCACAGTGTGGAAGAAAAAAATAGATTTTGTCACATTTTCGGTTCTAAGAAAATCATCAATTTTCTCCTCAAACTTTTCCTTTGCTTTTGCCAAAGTTGTGATTGCTAACACAGCCACACAAAATAAAGAAAATGACGGGGTCGGGGTCGCTGATTATTAATATGAAGTCAGATTTTAAAAATTGAAAATGGCGGATCCAAGTTTCGGACAAAATTGTTTGGAAATTGGTGATTTTCTAGAAATTTTCTTAAAAGTTTATGGATTTTAATAAAAGTTGGTACCTATAGGTTTTTGAGATCTCTGATTACGAATATAAAGTCAGATTTTTAAAATTCAAAATAGCGGATCCAAAATGACGGACAAATTTTTTTTAAAATTTATGGATTTTGTTAAAACTTGTTATCTAGGGATTTTTGAGGTCGCTGATTACGAATATGAAGGCAGATTTTCGAAAATCAAATTGTATGACGAGAATTTGAAAATCTGTTGCATTTTTATGAATCTTGGTATCTGGTAGCTTTTTGGGTTACTGATAGCCAATCTGAAGTAGGGTTTTCAAGATTCAACTGACAGTCACAAATTCGCAAAAGGTAAGTAAGATTCATAAAAAAAATTCACGAGAATACACTACCGTAGTGTAATATCAAAAAATGAACTCTTTGATTTTTAATTTTTGAGCATTTTTAGAAATTTACTTAAAAATTTTAGCCAATTTGATAATTTTGTTTTTAAATTCAGAAATATAGGAAAAAAGAGATAAAAATATCCTAACTTAGTGTCAAAAAAATTTGAGTCTTTAGATTTTTTTTCTTATTAGCAGAATTTTTTGTGAATACACTCTTAGATTGAATCAGTCAAAATTTGACTAATTCAATCAGTTAAGCATGTTTTTACTAACAAATAAATTATTTTCATTGTCACAATAACCATTTTACCAATATAATGGTAACTTCCCTAGAAAAATAAATAAGAATCAGTTTTTAAATCTTTGTTTAACAAAAACTATTGAAGTTTTGTGAATAATTTATTTATTATAATCTTATACTGGTTCTAACGAGCCCTTTCATACAAAAGTAATATAAGTATAAGTAAACATGTCGGTTCCTAACGGCAGTAAAAACTAACTAACTTCAGAAAAATTTAGATTTTTATAATTTATAACAAGTTAACAATTTAAAATGAATTATTAAACATTAAAATGTTATATTAGTCCTAAACTGCGATATTCCATTCTTTGTAGTGATTTCATTGAATCGTACACCCTCCTATTTCTTTATACTTATTTTCACATTTTAATTTTTTCTGTCTCACTTGCACTATATTTTTGACAATCCGCTACATTTGTAATATCAGAAAATGGTCTGTTGAAAAAAGAAAATAGTATGAGTAAGATAGGTCTATAAGAAAGGCGTCGGACACTTTTGTCAATACAGGCGTCGGTTCAACGCTATAAAGACCACTCGTGTCATTTCCCAATGACGAAACTTTTCCAAATTTCCTATTATTTTTATACTGGATTTCTACTTATTTCGAAGAATTCTTTTACTCTCGCATCGTTGCACCTTAGTAAGAGTTCGCTAGTTTGTTCTTCTCTGATATATAGGAGTCCTCGAAATGCTTCTTTATTGCCTTTCTTCTCATTTTTTTTAAAGACTTTAAATGGTGATGTGCAGAAAATGTTTTTATATATATAGAAAATAAGTAAGTCAGTTAGTCTAGGTATTCTGCTTAATTTTTTTGGGTTTAATCCTACGTTTGCGTGCTGCTGCGATTAAAGCAAAATATTTTAACAAAAAAGAAAATTTTTCTAAACGTACACAATTTTATAATACTCTGTACAAACTTCAATTTTAAAATGAGTCAAATATGGAAAAATCAATTAAAATTTAAAAATCCAACCCCGTTTGTCTCAAGACTGTGACTTTTTTATTGCACTAAAATAAGTGTTTCATTCCTATCTAAGGGATTAGGTTAGGTGTGAGAAAAATACAAATTATCCACGATTGTATGGGCACTACTACGAATTTGAGTGCAATATTTTTGTATATTGTATTTTATTAAATCACACTATTTCAAAAGATAATAGACTAGTCGATGTTAAAAATAATGTATGATTTAATGTCTTCCAACTGCCAGTTAACTGGTTCTACCTTTTACATAGCGATACAAACAACGTTCTACTTCTTGCAGAATTGATTGCAGAGAATCTAATTATCAAGAGATCGGATTATCGATCCAAACTGTACGACTTCGGATGAGCGACCGTAACAGGGGCCAACTCTCTTATAGTATGGCCATCGTACTCGGCGAGCCCAGTGTTCTCTTCCTATATCGAAAAGCTAGTATTTATAGCTCCATTAAGGCCGAGACTAAATCATCACAGCAGCCACAACTTTGTTGTATTCTGCAACCCAGGCGCAATACCTTCCCGGCCGCAAGACCTCTTGTCTAATATTTCGTTCCTATGCGGTCTACTACACACGCTTGTATTTCAAGTATCCGATATCATAGACAGAGAATGAAAATTTCCTTTCCTTCATTCCCTTCTTGTCCACATTCTATTTTTATACACTAAAAAATATTTCTTCTAATAATTGCTTACATGTTTATTACAAAAAAGTATATATTATTTTAAACAAATGAATTTTAGTTATATATAAATATATACTGTATATTATACAGTATCCTGAATAATTGAGTGGGCACCCCTTTTTCATTACAGTGTAAAAAATTTTATATATTTTTTCCTCAAAGCTAAAAAAATTATAAAATAAATGACAATTGAAGACATTACAAGATATGTATCAAATTTTTGAAATTGAAAATGGAAAATCCAATACAGCTGACGAACTTTTTTAAAAATGTATTGAATTCACTTGCCGTCTCAAAGAAATTATGCCCTTTGGGTGGAAATATGAAGGTAGACGTAAGTAATTCTGTATCGTTTTTATTTTATTTCTATACTAATTCCACATCCTATGACACAAACATTTGCAAGTTTTGTTAATTTCTGTGTTCTGTTTTGCCATAATATTTAAATAAATTTTATAATGTAAATTGCCAAATTAGTGATTCTCCGCGTAGCGCACAATTTGGTTTATGAAATTAAAAAAAAATCTTTATCGTTCTGATTATTATCAATATATTTTTTGAAGATAAAGGCTCTAGGAAGAAAAATTCATAGCTGGCCGGAAAAATTGTTTATAATTTTCGTTGTAAACAAGTATAATATAATTAACAAATTCACTGTTTGGACAGGTTCTGTCAAACAAAATTTTGGCAGGAATTAAAAAAAATATTATAGCGTAGGGGAGGGTAGGCTACATTGAACCGGGTTTTTTATTAAGTCCAAGAACTAATTAAATTTTACAAATTTTGATCAGGTTTTTGTATGAAAATAAAACTAAAGTACTCGTTTAGTTAATACACACATTACAAACACAAATTATTATCATTAAATAATGAAATTTAATTTTTTTCTAACCAGTTACACTTTTCTTATTTTGAAGAATGTGTGTCTACATTGAACCACCTCTAATAAAACACTACAACTTTCTTCGAAAATAATATTTCCACTTACACATTGTAAAAAATCTTATTTTCTACTCAAAAAAATAGAAAATTGTTGTTAAATAGTTATTATTTGTTAATACAAGAGATTAATATATTTCAATGTCAGGTTAGGTTGCAAAAGTAACAATTTCGTTGACAATTGTGATGAAAGCATGTCTTCCAGTATTTTTCTTACTTATTAGTAGAGCAGATAGCTTTACCACTCTTAAAATTGAAAATTCTTTGCATTTTCGGGTGGTTCAATGATGCCGCACTCACTTTATTCACATGACATTCACAAAAAAAATTGTTTATAATAAATTTGTGTAAGATTTAAAGTTCTTTATCACATCGGAATATTGAAGTTGACACCCTAAGCGAAATAAATCACAAGTCTACAAATTTTTAAAACTTCCTATTTCAATAAAAAAACGTCATTATAATTCCACCAAATTTTTTGTTTTGTACGTCAAAAACAATTTTTTAGTTTTTCTTTGTAAATAATATACTTACGTGTCGGAAATTTTTATACATAGTCTGTTTCGGTAAAACTAACTTATATAT